ACCCTGCTCTTACTGGCCACACCAGTGCTGGTCCAGGCCAGGATGCTGGTGGCCTTCTTGGCCACCTGGGCACACACTGACTTGTCTCAGGATGGCTGTTGACCAACCCCCAGGTCCACCAGGCACTTTCCAGCCACTCCTCCCCCATCCTGGAGCAATGCAGGGGGTTGTTGTGACCCAAGGGGAGGACCCAGCATTTGGCCCTGTTGACCTTCATCCCATTGGCCTTGGCCCATGGTTCCAGACTGGCCAAATCCCTCTGTAGACCCTCCCAACCCTTGAGCAGACCAGCACTCCTGCCCAACTTGGTGTTGTGTTCAACCTGACTGAGGTCACCCCATCTCCAGGTGGGGACTGGGCCAACAGAACTACCCCAAATCCTAATTCCTGGGGACACCACTTGTGGCCGGCCACCAACTGGGTTTAACTCCATTCCCACCACTCTCTGGGCCTGGCCATCCAGCCAGTGTTTTACCCAATGACCCACAGGCCTAGCCAAGCTGTGAGCAGCCATTTTCTCCAGGAGGATGTTCTGGGGAAACACTCAGAAGCTTTACTGAAGTCCAGGTAGACACCACCAACACCCTTCCCTTCATCCACTACGCAGGTAGAAGACACTCAGCTTAGTCAACATGGCCCATTAGGGAATAAAACCTCCTCCAAGGACAATGGCGGGCTCTGAAATTGCCCTTTTTCACCCCAAAGTGGCCAGGTGATGGGTTTTTTTTTTGGGTGAGACCCTGCTGCTCTCTCTCAGCAGGGCTGTGACCCCTTGGCCCAAACCCAACGCAGCAAACTGCAGCATCGCCGGGCCCGGATCAACCAGCAGATCAACAAGGAGATGAGGATGAGAGCTGGGGCAGAGAACCTCTTCAGGTGAGTCCTGAAGAGCATCCCCCCAGCCCAAGGGTTTGGCTGGGAGAGGTGGAAAGAGGACCCTGGCGTCCAGGAGGCAGCTGATGTTGGCCCTGTTGGATTTGTTCAGCGTTCCCTGAACTTTGCAGCATTCATCCTAGAAATGATGTTTGGTGGAATGCTGGTGAATTTTAAGGACAAATGAAGGCTTTGAGCATCCTGGAAGGTGGGTACACAGCAGGGTGTGAGCAGGTCATGCAGTCATAGGATCATTTTGGTTGGAAGACACCTCTAGGATTGTTAAATCCAACCCTAAATGCAGCTCTGCCAAGTCCCCACTGCCCCATGGCCCTCAGCACCACATCTCCACAGCTTCTGAAGCCCTGGTCAGCCTGTTCCAGGGCTTGACAACCCTTTTGGAGAGGAAATTGTTCCTCAGGGACAACCTCAACCTCCCCTGGGGCAACTCGAAGTGTTTTTCTCTTGTCCCTTGGGAGCAGAGCCCGACCCCCCCCTGGCTCCAGGCTCCTGTCAGGAGCTGTGCAGAGCCAGAAGGTCTCCCCTGAGCCTCCTTTGCTCCAGGCTCAGCACCCCCAGCTCCCTCAGCTGCTCCTCCCCACCCTTGGCCTCTAGACCCTTCCTGGAATAACAGGAATAATGACTTTTTTTTGCAGCCCTTGTGTGTTTCTCAAATTTCTGTAGGATATCAGAGCACATACCCAGGTCTGCTGATGGAAAAAACCATCCTAAAACTGCCCTCAAATAGATTTTTTGGGGGGGCAGCTGGTTGATTTTCTCTTTTTCAGCCAAGAAAATAAGATGAACTTTTCCCTCCTGAACCTGAATGATTTCAAATCAATGGTTTATGCCCCTGGAAGAAGGGAGTGAGAGTTGTTCTGCTGAGCTACAGCAAGAAATGGTCTTTTATTGGTGGCCCAGGACAACTTGGGAGGGGCCTCCTGGGGGAGGTGAGGTTACAACCCCCACCCCTTGCTGCTTCAACCACTCTCCCACCCCTCATCTAATTAAAAACCCCAGGCTGTGAAATCCCAACGTGTCCTCCTCTTGCCTCCCCTTTACTAGAAGAAAAATAAAGAGGGGGAAAAGTGCTGGCTCAGCAAAAAAAGGGGCAGGGGAGTGAGGAAAAATGGGATGCAAAAACCATCTTAATTACTCAGCTGAGGGAATGCACTGATGGGGCTCTTTATTTTCAAGCTGGATCAGCAGTTTGGGTGTCCCAGCTGCTGTTCCTGCCTCCCACAAATCCAGTCTGAGGAAGGATTTGGGTTTCTGGTGCTCAGACGTTCTCAGAGAATCATTCAGGTTGGAAAAGATCTCTGAGATCAAGTCCAACCCTCAACCCAATGCCACCATCACCCCCAAACTACGTCCCAAATGCCACCTCTGGAGGTTTCATGAACCCCTCCAGGGCTGGAGACTCCAGCACCCCCCTGGGCAGCCTGGGCCAAGGTCTTACCACCCTGCCAGGAGAGAAATTCTTCCTCAGATCCAACTGAAACCTCCCCTGGGGCAACTTCAGCCCATTGCCTCTCATCCTATCACTGGTTACTTGGGAGAAGAGACCAACCCACCTCACTCCAACCTCCTTCCAGGGAGTTGTAGAGAGCCAGAAGGTCTCTCCTCAACCTCCTCTCCTCCAGACTCAACACCCCCAGGTCCCTCAGCCAGGAAAGGTGTTAGAAGCTCCCTCCTCAACCTCCTCTTCTCCAGACTCAACACCCCCAGGTCCCTCAGCCAGGAAAGGTGTTCCAGGGGAGGTTGAGGTTGAACATAGGGCAAAATTTCTTCCCTGAGAGGGTTGCCCAGGGCACTGGTGGAGTCCCCACCCCTGGAGGGGTTCCCAAGCCGTGGAGATGTGGTGCAGAGGGACATGGTTTAGCAGTGGGCTTGGCTGGGTTAGGTTGATGGTTGGACTTGATGATCTTCAAGGTCTTCTCCAACCCAACCAAATCTATGATTCCATGCATGGAGAAGCTTCCTTTTCATCTCTCCAGAAAGCTCTTGGGTTGTCCAGCTTGGAGCAGTGTTTGCAGCTGAAGCTGGTGGGTCTGATCTGCCAAGGAAGAAAAAAAAAACCCAACCAACCAAACCCAAAACTCCTCAACTCCTCAACGTCCTTTCCTGGAGAGGTTGCCACGAATGGTGTGCTGGAAAACGTGCTCCTGGTGGTGTTTGCTGAGGGGTGTTCAGAGGGTTTGTTTGCTGGGTAAATAAATGGGTAGAGGCAGCAGAAATCAGTTCCTGTTCAAACACCCAACCTGAGCAAAGCCCTTGGGGGAGATAAAGGTGTCACAGAGAAAGGAGATTCTGAAGGAGAAACAGAAAGGTGAGGAGCCCTGGGGGAAGGTGGAGAGGTGTGTGAAGTCCTGCAGAGCAGGGGGGTGAAAGCTCTGGACAGAAATGCCCCCTGGGGATGAGCAAATGTCACCCTGGTGTCACTGCACAGCCAACAGGCACCAATCCAGGGCTTCAAGGAGAGCTGGGATGGATTCCTGAGCTGGGACTTCAGTCACAGGACAAGGGGGAATGGTTTCAAGCTGAAAGAGGGAGATTTAGACTAGACATGAGGAAGAAATTCTTCACTGGTGGGTGGTGAGACTCTGCAAGAGGTTGCCCAGAGAGGAGGTAGAAGCCCCACCCCTGGCACCATCCCAGGTCAGGTTGGATGAGGCTCTGAGCACCCTGCTCCAGATGAATCTGTCCCTGCAGGGGGTTGGACTAGATGACCTTTAAATGTCCCTTCCAACCCCAACCACTCCATGATTCTATGAAATTAGCTGTTGATAGTATGAGAAATTAAAATAAATTTAAAAGAACAGCTGGAAGGAAGAAAGGGGAACACTCTTTAATCCTTTTTGGGAGAAAATCCTGGCAACAACAGGATCTACCTGAGTTACCTGTGTCCTGGAGGTGCTGTGAGGTGTGGAGGATTTGGTAGCAACCCAATATTGGGTTATATGGAAAGAAATGAAATTAGCTGTTGATAGTATGAGAAATTAAAATAAATTTAAAAGAACAGCTGGAAGGAAGAAAGGGGAACACTCTTTAATCCTTTTTGGGAGAAAATCCTGGCAACAACAGGATCTACCTGAGTTACCTGTGTCCTGGAGGTGCTGTGAGGTGTGGAGGATTTGGTAGCAACCCAATATTGGGTTATATGGAAAGAAGGTGCTGCCTGTGCTGATGCTTTGTGGGGAATTGCAGGAATCATAGAATGGGTTGGAAGGGACCTTTCAAAGTCATCCAGTCCAACCCCTGCAGGGAGCAGGGACAGCCCCAACTAGAGCAGGGTGCTCAGAAACCTTCCTCACTTGGGATGGTGCCAGGGATGGGGCAGCGACCACCCTGCAGGGCAACTTGGGCCAAGCTCTCACCACCCTCAGCCTCCAAAATTTCTCCCTTCTCTCCAGTCTGATGCTGAAGGATGTTTAAATGGAGCCACTGTGGTTTTGCTTTGTTTATTTGAAATAAAAACACCCCTTTGGTCTCGGGAGGTCCCAGCCAAGGGGACTCAGAGGAGGAGACAGGAAAGGACCAGAATCTTAAAAATCATTACACAGCTCCTTCTGCTGCCCTGAGCCAGGTCAGGGCAAGGTCCTTGAAGGTTGCTAGCCACAAAAATAACCCCAAAACCAACTCCAAGGCAACGTGCTCTGCAAAAACTGGGGTGGAAACCTCACCCTGGCCCAGCAGAGCTCGGGCACGTGTTGTTTTTCCTGGAGCTTGTGGTGTGATGGAGCTGGAGCAGCCAGAGCTGTGGGTTATCTCTTATCAGGGCAGATAAGAAGGTTGGAATCAGCTTGGGAGCTGGGCTTGCTGGGAGCAGGCAGCTGAAATCAGTCCCTGGTGTTTACATCTCCTGCCGTGCCACGGTGGGGAAGGGAGGGCAGGGAACAGCCCTGCTGATGGCTGAGCACAGCAAAGCTCTTCCTTTGCCCCTTTTCTGTGTTTCCCACCCCAAAATCTCTTGTCCTCCCCTCCAACCCAACCCTAAAGCGTTTTTGTTGGGTGTGGGCGAGCCCCTTGAGTGCCCCCAGCCCCATCTGAAGCTGTGCTGGAGGTGGGAGCGTGGGTGGGTGAAGGGGCTGGTTGCTCTGGGGCAGAAGTAGGTTCCTCTGAGCAAGGGGGGGACACTGTGATGAGTTTTGCCTGGCCTCAGCCTCCAAGGCACAGTCATCTGGATGCTTTGGGTCCTGAAAGGCTGAGGGAGTGGAGGTTGTTCAACCTGGAGGAGAAAAAGCTCCAGGGAGACCTTCTGGTGGCCTTCCAGTGCTTGAAGGAGCTTAAAAGAAAGATGGGGCAATATTTTGGAAGGTCTTGAGAGGATGGGGGAGGTTTGATCCCCACGGGGTTGTCTTCCAGGGCCACCAGCAACCACAAAGTCAAAGAGACAGTCGCCCTGGAGCTGAGCTACGTGAACTCCAACCTGCAGCTGCTGAAGGAGGAGCTGGAGGAGCTGAACAGCAGCATGGATGTCTACCAGAACGACAGGTACACCAGGCAGCCTCTTTGCCTTGTACCCATTCCTCTGCCTCCTTCTTCTCATCAAGATTTGGCCCTTTGGTAGGGACCACGAGGTGGTGGCTGGAGGACAGGGGAGGACTTGGGTGTGGATCAGAGTTGGTGGGAATAGTTTTAATTCCTTGGAACATCAGGGGTTTGTGTCTAGAGCTGTAAGGAGAGCAAACTCAACAGCTTTTCCTAGCTGGGACTTAGGTGTTTGGAGGGTTGGATGGTGCATCCTATGGACATGGATGTTCTAAAGCAAGAACAGGTCAGGAACAAGCATCTTCACCTTCATCATCCACCATTCCTGAGCAGGGAGTGGAGTCTCTTCTTCCAAGGAAAAAGGGATAGGACAAGAGGAAGCAGCCTCAAGTTGCCCCAGGGGAGGTTGAGGTTGTCCCTGAGGAACAATTTCTTGCCCTGGAGGGTTGCCCAGGGCTGTGCCAGGCTGCCCAGGGCAGTGGTGGAGTCCCCACCCCTGGAGGGCTTTCAAAACCATGAAGATGTGCTGCTGAGGGACACAGTTTGATGGTGGACATGGCAGTGCTGGGTTAATGGTTGGATTCCATGATCTTCAAGATCTCTTCCAACCAAAACACTTCTATGATTCCATTCTGTGTTCCCACCAGAGCATGAGATTTTTCCAGCAGGTTCCATGGGTTATTTCCCAGAAGAACAGGAAAGCTGCAGATGTCCCTGCTCCCTGCAGGGAGTTGGACCAGATGACCTTTAAATCTCCCTTCCAACCCAAACTCTTGAATGATTCAATGATCCTGAGGACTGTAGGACCAAGATGACCTAGTGGAAGGATTGTGTTGGGCTCAGAGGGTCTCCCATGGGGAGTTTCTTTGGGTGTTTGCTCTCAGAGGGTCTGTTGCAGTCTCTAACCATAACCCTGGGTCTTGGTCCTTCTTTTCTGCAGCCTCCCCAAGTTCTTCCATGTCAAGGACCCTCAGCTTTTCCAACCTGCTGCCTGTTTGCCCTGGTTTAAAAAGAAGAAAGCAGCAACAGCAACCCCAAAACCCTGCCCAGGCCCAACAAAAGCCCCTTTGTGTGCTCCAGGCGTTGGATTCGAGCAGAAATCTCGTTAGGGAAGAAGCAGTGATGATTTTTCTGCACTAATTACAGCTCTCAAAGCTGTTTATGCAGTAGGAAGAGAGGAAAGTGTGGGTGCAACCTCCCCAGCTCCTCCCTGGACTAAGGAGTGATTGGTTTCTGGAGGGAAGAAGAGGTTGGGCAAACCTGGGCTGGCGAGGGCTTGGTCCTGCTTGACCCACCTCCCTTCTCACTCTCTGCCAAACTTGTTTGGGTTGGGTTGGAAGGGACCTTTGAAGAGCCTTACACAGCCCATTTCTCCACTTTTTGGCAGCAGAAGATCCAACTAGCTGCTAAATCCCTCCAAATATGGTCCCTCCTGACTGTCATCCTGCAGCCCATCTTCAGTGCTGCTCAGCTGCCCCATTTCAATGTGGAAACACAAACCCCCTCCCCAACTGGGTCTTCCCAGGGTCATCTTCAGCCCTTTGTGATATCAAACTGGCTCTTTGATAAGAGCTGTTATTAGAAAACTGCTTTTAGGAGAGGTAGAAAAGGTCCATATCAAGCACAAAGCTGCAGCCTGAGCAAGTCCTGACCAGCACCAAAGCCCTGAGTAGCTGGTAGGAGTGGTTGGATCCATGACCTGTGTTCCCAAGGGCTGGTAATTAAAGCAGCCTCATTACTGGGGCCTGTTTTGTTGCTGTGGGACTTGCTCTGGAGACAAAAAATCAGAAGCTGGAGGAATAAGGGTGGTGGTTTCATGTGGGTTGTTTTGTGCAGCTCTTCTCTCGTGCTGCTGTTCCTGACTTCATGTTGGGAGGAGGATCCTTCTGCTGGGCAAAGTCAGCTCCTCTTCTAGTTTTAACTTCAAATAGGACCAAACACCACAGGGTTTGATGTCTTAGAAACCATAGAATCATTGAGGTTGGAAAAGGTCTTTAAGATTCAAGTTCAGTTGTTCACCCAGCACGGCCAGGTCACCACTAAAACATGTCCCTCAGCAGCACATCTTCATGGTTTTGAAAGCCCTCCAGGGGTGGGGACTCCACCACTGCCCTGGGCAACCCTCCAGGGCAAGAAATTGTTCCTCAGGGGCAACCTCAACCTCCCCTGGGGCAACTTGAGGCTGTTTCCTCTTGTCCTGTCCCTTGTCCCTTGGGAGCAGAGCCCGACCCCCCCCTGGCTCCAGGCTCCTGTCAGGAGCTGTGCCGAGCCAGAAGGTCTCCCCTGAGCCTCCTTTGCTCCAGGCTCAGCACCCCCAGCTCCCTCAGCTGCTCCTCCCCACACTTGGGCCCTAGACCCTTCCCCAGCAGCTCCGTTGCCCTTCTTTGGACATCCTCCAGCCCCTCAAGGTCTGTTTTGTCTTCTTCCAGTGAGTCCATCAGCGTCCCCATGATCCCTTTGGGCCTGAAGGAGACGAAGGAGCTGGATTTGTTGACACCCTTGAAGGTGAGCGTTGGGGTTTCTCATGCTCCATGCATTGCAGGATGATGGAGAGGAGATTCCAGGCACTTTGGGGGACGTTTGGACACATGGGTAGAGCTGGATTCTGTAGAGGAGATGCTGCAGCAGCTGAAAGATATTTTCTATTTTGGAACAGCTGTAAAAAAAATACATTTATGGGGAGGAGCTGGACTTGGGAATCTGTGAAAGTGAGAGGTGAGGGTCTGGAGATGCTGGAGAGCAAGAGCTGGGCAGGTGAGGAGATGGTTTTCCCTGGTGCAGGTTTCCTTGCAGGGAGAACAGGAAAGCTGATTGTCCAGAATCACCCAAAATCACCCTTTAAACTGTGTTGAAGGGTGACTCAAGAGTTTTCTTTCCTCATCCAGGATTTCATCAGTGAGCACTATGGAGAAGAGGGCATCTTGTTTGAGAAGGAAATCCAAGAGTTCATGGAGCTGCGGCAGGTGGGTGTCCCTTGAGCTGCAAAGTCTTGGTCAGAACTCATTGGAGGTGCCACCTTTTGCCCTGGGGGTCTCCTCATCCAACTGCACCTTTGTCCTGATGTCTTGGGGTGCACGATTCCCACCCTGGAGCACTTGGGCTTCAGTTCTTCTCTTTGGAGAAGAGGGAATAGCCAAAGCCAGCCCTTAAAGGTGAATTTTCTCCTCTCCTGCAGAACATCTCTCATAAGTAACCTCAAGCTTTGCCTTGTCCTGAAGCTTTGATCTTTGAAGCTTCTTCTCAAGCCCTTGTGAAGGGCCTGAATCTGCTCTTCAAGCCCTGTGAGGAGCCCTTCAGAGCCAGAAGCTGGGAAAAGCCCTGTGCTTAAAACAAGGAGTTAGGAGAGCTCCAACTCTTCTCCCTGTCTCAAGTCAAAAGCTCATGGGCTTTTCTAGTAAGAGCAAAAACTCCTATTTCTTCCCTAGCATCTTTTTCAACAGGCTTTGCATGAGTTTCTCTCCTAAAACAAATACCAACCCTAGGGTGGTTCAGCCAAGTGTGGCCATCTCCACAGCTCCCAGGGGGCTGGCTCCAGATTTGGGTGTTCCAGCTGGTGCTGGCACCAACCTGGTGCCTCCAGGTCTGGGCTGCCCAGTTGCAGAGAGAGCAGGAACCACTGGGAAGAGTCCAGGGGAGGCTGCGGAGCTGCTGAGGGGCTGGAGCATCTCTGTGCCAGGCCAGGCTGAGAGCCCTGGGGCTGCTGAGCTGGAGAGGAGAAGCCTCAGAGGGGATCTGAGCAGTGCTGAGCAAGAGCTCAAGGGTGAGGGTCAAGAGGATGGGGCTAGATTCTGGTCAGTGGTGCCCAGGGACAGGCCAAGGGGCAACGGGCACCAACTGGAACCCAGGAGGTGCCACCTGAGCAGGAGG